TTTTTAATCTTGTGAAAACATCAAGTAAGATTTATTTGATTTATTGTTTGTAATATTCCATACATCGTTTATAATAAAAATAAATAATAATGATTCAGTAATTTTTTAAATAAGTTTTTGTTTATAGTATAAGTTTTTTATTAACTATGATTTATTTTAACTCAAATTTAAAACGATTCTTTTGTTTAGAATGTCCGCAATCAATGACATTCCAAAAGGAAACAAAGTAATGTTGTCAACATTTATTCAATGGAAAGTTCAAGAGGTAATAGGCTTTAGAACTGAAATTACCAGATATGAGTGACGAATTAGCTGCATTCAGTTTCGAAAATGTAGAAGAGGAAACACCGTTGACAACAGTTGAGGGGAAAATCTGTTATTTAACCTATAATGAATAGTTTAAAAAAAAAAAGATTTTCAAACTTTCTTGTGTTATTTTTTTAAGATAAAAAAATCGTAATTTAAAAAAAAAATTTTATAAATAAATTAAATTGAATAAAAAATATCAAGAAATATAAAAACTATTTTTAAATACTTATATCAAAACAACGAAACAAAAAAAGGCACTAAATTATAAAAAAGTCACTAAATTATACTTCAATACTAAATCAACAAGAAGTTGCGTTTTTGTTTGATATATATTTTTTTATAACATAAATAATTAAAAAAAATCCCGATCTGACAATATACAAGAGTGTTAATTCATGAGTGTGATACTAATTATAACATTTGTTGAAGAAAGAATGATGTAACAAATAAAAAAAGATCTTCTTCAGCAACTTTCATGATCGCGCTCGTCGACGTTATCTCGAGCGCACATAATCACGCTCGATGAAAACATATTTTAATTTTACGAGTGCGATATAACACGCTTGACGATTTTATTCGTCACAAGCCCTGTATATATATATATATATATATATATATATATATATATATATATATATATATATATATATATATATATATATATATATATATATATATATATATATATATATATATATATATATATATATATATATATATATATATATATATATATATATATATATATATATATATATATATATATATATATATATATATATATATATATTTGCTTAATGCACTTTTAGTTAAAAAGTTATATATCAGTTTTTCAATGAGTTACACTTTGGTGGTAATTGTTTCTTTTTTGATCTTTTTCTTTACAATAACTCACAGTTTTTCAATGGGGTTCATGTGGGGACTATTTCCTGGCCATGGCAATGTCTTGATTCTGCTCTGCTGAAGAAATTTTGTCACTTTTTTTGCTTTATGACACAGAGCCCCATCGTGCATAAAAATTACATCTCCCTCTGGAAACCATGTCTTAATTTGGGGCATTAACCTATTTCGTAGTACTTAAATATATTGTACATGATTGATGGTGCCTTCTACGATGTACAATATTCTCGGTCTGTGTATTGACATGACACTCCACACCATATCAGATGTCGGATGCTTTACACTCTAGCAAACACTCTGACTTGAACTCTTCTCTTGGACTTCTTTGAACATATTGGCTCTGTTTCTCCAACACCAAAAAGATGGATTCATTGCTAAAACATACCTGCATATAATAAATATACAAATGAGTACACAGAAACACTTTGCAAAAAATTACAGATCAAATTTGAGAGGTTCTTTAGAAAAAAAATTGCCTAAATTTTTTTAGAATTCATCTTACATACATAAATACATACAAATAACCAAAAAACATTTTTTATTTTTAATTAGAATTTTGTTTGAAGTTTTACAGTTTGGTATTCAATTTTTTAAATTGTTTTTATTAATTATGAGTTTTCCAATTTAGCTGATTTAGTAACACTATGCCTGCTGCACTTTGCCAAGACCATCCACTTAATGTTCCTGAATTACACAGTTCTAAAATTTTAAATGGAGATCATATAAATAAAGAAATTACTAATGACAACTTTGAAGATGAAAAGATAGAAGAAAAATTTAAAAGTGAACCTCAAAAACAAGTCGAAGTTGTTAATGAGAATCCTAGTTTAAATGATTGTGAATCTAAAGGTAATTTAGTTAGTAAAATTTATTTAAAAAACCTCCAAATCTTGTATTTCATTTTAAATAATTTTAATTAAATTTTTATATGATTTAAGTAAAAAAAAAGGTTATTTTCAATAATCTATTCTAAATTTATTGAATGCTAAAAAATATTTTTTGTCAACCTTGGTCTTAAAATAATTACGCTTCTTTTAAGGCCAAGGTTGACGAAAAAATTTTGCTATTTATTAATTTCTATAATATTTACTAATTTTAAAAACTTCAAAAACAAAGAAAACTGGAAATAAAATTTCTTTGTCTGAAGGTAATACCTGCTCAAACCCAAACCATTAGTGTATATTAAGATAATATCATACTGAAACAACATAGTTGTTTCAGTATGATATTATCTTTTATGCAAAGCTAAGTATTCAAATATATTTACATACAAATATAATTACATATACAGCCTGAAAAATTCAGGTCGGTATTCGACAATGCCGATGCAAAAGCCGACCAATATTTGGTTTATAATGGCATACAGCTGCTGATCTAAAATTCTTAAGGTCTCAGCGTGTAAAAATTAATATATATAAAAAATATGTATTATTTGTTCATTTTAAGTTCATAGTTTATTTATTGTAATTACTTTTATCAAATTTAACAAGTTTTATTTTTAAAAAAATCATACCTTTTTTTTTCAATTTATTTTTTAGTTTTTTCTCAAATTTATTCAAGCATAGCAAATTTTAATTCGTTTAACTTTTAAAAACGTTCAACTTAACTTTTAAAAGTTAAGAATTTTAAATATCTGTTGTTATATATATTTTAGTCAAAATATAGTGTGATTATTATTTTATTAAGTTTTAAAATCTAATAAATAAAATAAAAAATAAAATCTTATTATTTAAAACTTTAAGCACAACCATTTGATATTAAATTTAATATTTACATTTGATATTAAAAGAGAAAGTCTTTTAAGTTAAGTATTGGTATGTTAAACTCATGTGGAAAAAAAACATGTTAATTAAAAAGCATTAAACTTTTTTTTAAATTTAATAAAGTTGAGATTTTCATTGAATCCATTCAAAGTAAGAAACGCCACAATGTTACACAAAGCAAAATTAAAAGGAATCATAATGCCTAACAAACTGTTAGGCATTGCGAACTTATTTATAAAAATGTAACTTAACTTACGTTACACGGATAACAAGGTAAAAAAATTGCTTTAACTTTCAGATCAGATTTCTGCAATCAGTAAAGCGGTTTGTATTAGAAACTTTCACAAGATGTTGAGAACTATTAAAAAATTTATCAGAGGTGACTGGCTAAGGAAAACCAACTTTTTTTTTTGATACTATGTAATTAACTTAAGTTACATTGCTTACGTTACCGAGAATTATTTATGTGGATTTTTTATATATATTTTCAAGAGCTAGAGTTACGTAACAAAAACATTGCAAAAAGTGTTGAACTCATTCATTAAAAATAATTAAAGGGATCCCTAAGTGCTCCTAACATATGATCACATATGAAAGAGCATAAAAAAAAAATTTGTAAGTTTTTTTTCTTTTTCACTAAATTGTAATAATAAATGCATGCTAACAAAAAGCAATTGCCGAAATCACTAAAAAACAACTCCATTTTGATTTTATTTTTTCACCATTGAAACTCGATTGTTAGTCGTTAAAAATCACATTAGTACGTCACAACAACTTTAGAATATCTACTTCGATTTTCAAGTAAAAAAAAGTAGTGATTAAATAGTTAAGTTTTAATCAAGTTTTTTTAATTAGTTTTGCAAAAACAGTATAATAGCATTCGGTTGAAAGACGTCGTTAAAAAAAAGTTATTAAGTAATAGGTTTAAATAGTTTAGAACTTATAAAAAAGTCTTACAGGGCTCATATTAAGCGTATCGCAATCGCGATTGCAACACACACTTTTGTGATTAGTTTTCTCTTAAAAAAAATCTTTTCGCGACTCGTTTTTTTTTTGGTTGATTAATTACTTTTTTTCTAGCTTAGCATTTTTTTTTAGCAATTCTTAAAAGTAATGTTTTTATCATAAAGAACGTCACACAAAATTTATTATTCTGAATAGATAGATGAATAGATGGTTTGCTCTTTCGCGCGGAGATTTTCTTTCAACGTAAAACATTATTGAATTTAAATTACTTTAAATCTCTGCGTGGAATATTTTTACAAGGTCGTTAAAGCGAAAAGTTGAAAAGTTGGTTTTTATCTTTGTTTATCAAAACTTCATGTTTAAAATAAGGCTTAAAAACACTAGAGCAAAAAAATTACTGACTTTTATTTGCATTTTTATACTGTTTGAAAAAAAAAAACTAATAAAAAAGAATTATTATATAATTATTAATTAATATATTAATTATTAATTAATATATTAATTAATATATTTTTTTATTTTTTTAATTAATATATTAATTAATATATTTTTATATTTTTTTTGATTTATTGACGATAATTTTTTCCCCCCATTACCGCACATCAGCGCGAGCTATAAGAGAGAGGAGGGGGAGAGCAAAAAAAAAAAAAATTTTTTTTTCGCGATTAGAAATTTTTTGCGTTAATTTGAGCCCTGTCTTAGTTTAATTTCTAATAAAATGTCTATTCAACCTTATCAATTTGAACCAAAAAAATATAGCAATTTAACATAAATGTTAATTTAACTAAAACATTTTACAATCATTATTTTTTTTATCAAGCAAAAATGAGAGTAACCGTCACTTTTGAAACCATAAAAACTACTGAAATAAATTTATTTTTTTACTAAGGCAATATTTTAAATAAACTTTCACATGTCTAAGTCAATATTCATTTGTTTTTAACTGACTAAAAAGAGTTTAAAATTTGACTTCTATTCATTTTTAGCCGTGGAATTGCCCTTATAACACAAATATATAAATTAATATTATAAAAAAAATTTTAATATACAAATATATTTTCACAAAATGCTACAAAACTTATTCTTGTAAGTAATTATGTGTTAGTTGAAAAAAAACGACTCTACTTTTAAATTTAATTACCAACTAATAAGTTTGCAATAATGACATTTTGTCTACTTTGTTTAATTTGACGTACTAACGTTAGTTTTTTGAGGCAGTAGAGTCAATAAACTTTGGACAAGACGCATTTTTTTTAATCGAAGAAAAGCGTTTTTTTGAAAATTAAATTTGTTAGTGTGTGTTCATTATTACGTTTTAGAAAAAATAATATACATCAAACATTTTTTTTTTTAATGCTCTTTCATATGAGATCATATCTTTATAGCACTTAGGGATCCCTTTAAGAAAGGAAATTTTAAAAACTGGCAGCACTCTTCCTGAGTGCTGGCAGTACTCCTCCTGAGTGTTTTTATATAACATTTATTAAAGTTTTCAAATCAAAAACTGAGTGTTTTTATATAATATTTATTAAAGTTTTCAAATCAAAAACTTAGTGTTTTTATATAATATTTATTAAAGTTTTCAAATCAAAAACAGTTTTTCTGCAAGATCAAGAGCAACTTTTTAAAAATTATTTTTAGAATGCAAAGTATTTACATTTAAAATCACTTTAAAAATTTTTGACGTAAAAACTACTATCACAGTTTAGGAGGTAGAAGGGTATATGTTCAGGTATATGTGATCATTTGTGACAGGATTGAAGGGGTTAAGAATTGATAAATATAGGGTTATGTACTTTATGGATGACCCCCTTAATTACATTTACTAATGATTTGTTTTACTAAAACAAAAACAAAGACAAAAAAAGGTTTTAACTAATTTTTTTTATATCAGGAGAATAGCAAATTATTCTCTTTTTTTTTTTTAATTGTCTAAATAAAAATATTGATAGGGGAGGTTGGGGGAAATGTGGGCCCTTGATGTTTTTTGCCATTTTTAGGGTTGTATTATAATGGTCCAAACTGTAACTATGGTAAAAGAATTACTACAATGTATCAGGCTTGGTCGGGAAGTGGGTGCGATCGCACTCGATAACTGACCATGGAAATAATATTTAGTTGTGATAAACCGGCCAGATTTTTAAGTCGTTTTGAGTTCATTATTTTATCGTAAATTTTAAAATATTTTGTTTTATGGACATACATGGAAACATACATAAATGTTGTCAAACATCTTTGTGCGGAAAAATAAAAAAAGAATATTCGCGAAAACAAAAAACCCGCCAAATCTATGATCAACTAATTTTATTGGTTCAAAAAATACTAACTGAAATTTCTAGAGTATTCTGTTGAAATATTTTAAAAATTGTATTATTTGAATTTTGTTATATTTTCGTTGAGATTTCTAGCATAAATTTTTTTAAGATTATCAAGCGAACTATTATTTTAATTCTCGGAGCCACATCTACAAAGCTATAAATGTTTTAAACTAATATTGTTTACAAAAATAAATGTTTCAAATTTATATTTTTTAACTGGTCAACGTTTTGTAAATATATTATAAATTTTATTAGTATATTCTTATTTTTTATATATAAGGGATGTATTTTTTATGTATGTGATGTACTTTTATGTATGTATTTTTTATGTATGTAATTTTATGTATGTTATTCAAATGTAATCTTTTAAAGCAATTTGTGCGATTGATTTTGTAAACAAAAATACTTTCAATAATAACTGCGTTTTCAATGAAATTATTAAAAATCATCAAAGTTAATACAAAAAAACTTTAACCACTAATCCATTTTCCTTAGTGTACCCAATAACTGATTCTTTCCCCCAAGAAAGAAAAGTTTTCAAGTTCTTAGAAATTGGTTTACTAACTTTAATTATTTTTGCTTCAGCCATTCTTACAAACTCGTTATAATTAAACTTAAAGTTACTTTTTCTGTTTTCAATACTAATTAAAATTATAAAGCCCACTCACTAAACATTATAAGCGGTATTGTGAAGCAGTTCTTCTTCCTCCTTCCAAAGTAATTTAATGTTTTTAGGTAATTTCTATCTAGCTAATTGAATTTCTACAGTATCTCAATGATTTAATTATTTCGTTTGTTTATCTTACTAAAAAGAAATGTTTCAAATGTGTTAAACTTTTCAAACTACGCAAAGCATAAAACAGTTATTGAAAAAACTTTTTTATTTATAAATAAATCATCTAGCGTTAGTTTTATTGGTTGAATCTTGTTGGACTTTTCAGGGCCGGTGGCTGCATTATTTTGGCAGCCTTTTTTATGTGCCACAGCATAAAAATGATCAAAAAATAAATACAGAATGGTCCTCTTGACTATTTCGCTGCCCTTAACATTGTGAATACCGTGGCTATAGCCCTTTTTTTTTCTTTTTTTTTTTAACATCTTCGCTTCCAACAAGGCTGCAAGCAACCACTAATTAGTGTTGAAAGTTACTGGAAGAGAAAAGATGAAGATTGTAGAGCAAGATAACGATTGACAGACGACTTATAAGATTGCAAATTATATGAATCAGGAAAGCAAGATGAAGGAAGCGAACTTCATCTTGCTTTCCTGATTCATATCTTCTACCCCTACCTCTTCAATCCAGCACTGGAAATAAAATTTAATAATTATATACTCTATATAATAAAAATTATATATACTCTTTGATAAATCGAAGAACATTTGTTTCCATACTAAACAATCATTAATAGTAAGTCATTACTTATATAAAAAATGTTGCTTAATTTTATAAAAAAATTCAAAAATATTTGCTCTAATTGTATTTATCTTGCTTAAAGTTTTTTCGCGTTAAAAGTTATTTTTCTTTTTTTTAACTTTCTCTCATCGTTCCAGTTAATCCTATTGCGCTTTTTTATTTGTTTTTGAAATGTTCTCAATACGACTATAAAATCTGGCCGGTTTTTCGCAACTAAATATTATTTCCGTGGTCAATTATCAAGTGCGATCACACCCGCTTCCCGACCAAGCCTGATGTATATTATAAAGTACTTTATTGGCAAATACATACAAAAAATAATTAACATGTTATTACAGGAAAAAAATTAAACAAAATGGCCAGTATTACCCCATAACTTTTGGGCAATTGTGGCAGTCTGGTCAGCATTACTTCAATTCTTTTGTCGAATAGGATCAATGAAAACAAGAATAATAATTATTAAAAATAAGTTTTATAAGAGTTTAAGAGAATAAGTTTATGAGTTTAAGAATTTATAATAATAAATAGTACAATATTACTATCAAATACAATAGTCACAAATATAAATATCGTTTTTATGGAGGAGATCTGTACAGTCTTTGTGGGCCCAGTCACCACATGCAGCACAGGTTACTATTCTCTGGCACAGGTTACTATTATCCACTATTCTCGTTTTTTACCCACCAACCAAACAAATTTCCCACCAACCAAACAAATATCTGAAGACTTTTCTATTTTCTAGCCATTATGTAAAAATTGCTTCAATTAATTTTTTTGTGAATATATTCATGAAAATAATTTTTATATGTTAAATTTTATTTTAATTAAAGATTTTTATATGTTAAATTAAGTTTTTATATGTTAAATTAACTTTTTATAAAACATTTTTATTAGAGGTTCCTGTAAAGATTTTAGATATCAAAATTCAAATAAGTGGTGTTGCAGATATTGTTACAATTCAACTTTCTAATCATGATACTGTGCAAGACATTCGACAAGTTGTGCTAGAAAAACCAGAGTGCTGTCATCGTACATGTTTTTCATTATATTTGGATAATACTCGACTTGATGATTTTATGGAGCTTCATGACATAACAGCACTAAATAATGATTCTGTTATAAAAGTTGTTGATGGTAAGTCTATTTTTTCTTACAAAATGTTTTTATGTAAAACTATTTAAGTTTCCAATTTTGAAAAACATCTACTTATAATATTTAACAGCTTATATAAATTAATAAGAAGTTACCTAACAGTTATGGTTTGATAGTTTAATAATTTGAATTTTTTTTTCTGTGTAAAAAAATTATTCAAGACTATTTTTTGTCAAGTTCTTGCTCAGTGTAGTTAAGGAGAGATCCAAAGAAAAATATAGCGTTTAGGCCCTTTCGTTTTCAAAAAATGCAGTTTATTTTGTTTGTGTTTTGATTGGTTTATTTAAAAAGTAAAAATCATGACACTCGTTTTATTTTGTTTACAAATCTTAGGTGATTTTACTATCTATGAGTTTGAAGTTTTAGCCTAACACAAGGGGGCAGAAGTTATAAAAAAGCTGAGACGTTTCTGTTTAGTAATTTATTCAAACGGCTGTAAAGAGATTATGGAAGTAAATTGCTATGAGTGAAAACTTCGATTTTAACGTTTTTACTGTTTACGGAAAGAAAATATAAGAGGTTTTTAGTCATTTATTGATTATTTTAATGCTGCAAACAAGGTCTTTTTACTTTTGAATAAAACACATTTTCGGAATGTAAATACTTAATAATTTGTTTCAGCTGTTTTTATGACGCTTCCCCATTGCTTTATGTATTTTAGCGGTAGTTAAGTTTTGCTTGATGCTTTGGTTAAAAAAAGATTTAATTTTTTTTTACATTCGAGTTAAATGTTTGTTAATAGAAAATAGGTTTAAAAGTTTACAAATTTTAATTGTGGTAAACTTCAAGGTTAATCTTTATGGCAATTCTCAAACTTCAGAGTTATAAATATACACATTTGTAGGGAAACTATGCAAAATATGAAAATCATTTAGTTTTATTCAAGAGAGACATTCAGTTATTAGGATTTAGATTAAAAAAAACTTTGCAAATTTAAATTTCTATAATAAGTATACAGTAATATAAGTATACAAAATATAAGTATATAATAATATATTATTTAAACATCTATTCATTTTTTTAATGCTTTTAAAGAGGTTAAAATTTCAACTGAGTTTTGTTATATTACAACATTTGGTAACCCTGAAATGTTTAGCTTTACAATTCAGTCTAATGCTTTATAATTATAGAAACTTTAATTTTGTTGTTGAACTTCTTTGGTTTACTTTTGAAACTTTGTAAAAATTGAATAATTTTAAAATAATTTTAAACAATTAAATGTAAAATTAATCGAACAGCAATTTGTAGATAATTATATATCTGTCATTAGGAGAAAACTTAAAATTGTATAAGCTTTATTTCTACTATAATCAAGAATTGGAAGATATAACTTAGAACTTATTTTTAAGAACAAAAATAAAATTTAGTATAGTTAATCTACCTTATTAAAATCTTCAAAGTATTTACTTAGTAATCAACACAAACTCAAACCTAATTTTTACACACTGTGTAAAAATAAATAAAAGGTCATTTGATTTTTATTTATGTAATTTTTCTTAGTCTAGTTTCAAGGCTAAATACAAAAAATTATTAGACATTTAGCATTTTAAGAATAATATCATAATCGTTCGTGTGAAAACAGTATGGATAGCATAATATTTTATATTTAATTTTTACAGTTAAGTTAATCAGTTAAATACCGTCTTTTTCAAAAAACTGCAGGGATTTTTTCATCAGTGTATTAATGATTATAAATATATGTTATATGTTTTGAATATGTTATTTGGAATTGTTTATAACATAATAGAAGATAGTTATTTAAAATTCAATAATTTTAAATCAAACTTTAGGACAAGTTTCTCAATCAATTTTAAATATTAACTTGTCAACAAAATATGACAAAATATGTCAAGTAAAATATTCATAAGCCCACAAATGTAAGATACTTGCATGTTTTACTTATAGTCTAAGAAATTTGGATTTAATTTTTATATCAATCTTGTTCTTTTACTTTATTTTTTAATTTATACTTTGTTTTCAATGAAGTGTTCAATGTTCTTAAAAGAGAAGAGCAATAATAAATTAGTAGAAAATCAGTTATCAAACTTTTTTCATTTTTCACCTCTGCTGAGGTGTAAAAGTTTGACCTTGGCAGGAGTAAATATGTGCATTAGCAGTGAATTTCTCATCTAAAGCAAACATGGTAGCAACTTGGGCAATAAGCATTTTTGCTGGCTTTTTGATATTTAGATTAAAAAGCTCATGGTTAAAATAATACTTATTACGTTTTGATAATAGTTTTTTTAGTTTTGCACTGTAATGTCTTGTATCATATCATCAATACATCTGATTAACAATTGTCAGCAGTGTTTGTTTTTCTGATATTTACTTATTCAAGCATCTTATCATTTTCTAGAAAAATTGTTAAAAAGAGCATTGCATTTGACATTGCAGTTTTTTTAACCCTTGGAATTAGAAAAAATGCAGTCGGCAATAAATTATCGAGCCAATTTGAGGTCCTCAAAAAAAGTTTGACACTAACAGGTTACCATAAAACATAGACCTCAAACACTTTAAGGTTGGCAGTTAGATTAACATTGCCAAATGCCGACCCTAATTCCGAGGGTTGATATATATATATATATATTTATATTCATATATGTATATTTGTATATATATATATATATATATATATATATATATATATATATATATATATATATATATATATATATATATATATACACACACACACATATATACAGGCCTTGTTTTAAATAAAAAATGCTTAACACATTAGCCTAATGTGAGTTTGACATTATAAAATTCTCTCTTTTTTTTAATTTTTAAAGACATTAACTTTTTTAAATTACTGCAATAATATTAATTACCGCAAAACAAGTTAAATATTATTTAACTCGTTTTTAATTATTACTATTAGGAAATGTTTATTTTCTTTCATTTTTTTTTAAATATTAAATAATTAAGTATAGTATTTTATTTAAATTTTTTTTTTTGATATAAACAAATTGTTTTTCTTGACATTAGTATAAATGAATTAAAATGTTTAATTTTTTAAAATGATTATTTCTTAAATAATCATTTTTAAAAATTTGCAACTAAAAATAATTTTGTGTTTTAAAAAAATTAGTGAGTAGCAAATTAAAAAATTACTTTATTTATCTATTTTATTTGTTATAAGTTTATTATTTTATTTGTATTTTGTTAAGAAAGCAAAGATTATTTTTCCAACACCAAACCCAACATAAAATTATATCGTTGTATATATCATTTATTAAGGAATAATTGCTGCGTTCTACTTGCGTTTTAAGAAAAAGTTTAACTTATGTTTTGTGCAAATTTTTGATACAGCCTCGGAACAAGTTTATTTAAAATTCAATTTTGAATAAAAAAAAAATGTTGAGGTAAGAAAACCAAAAAAACAATTTCAATAAAACTGAGCTAATTTTTTTCAATAAAATTTAAATATTGAACAAAATTTAGTAAATTTATTTTTAATAAATTTAAGAGCTAAGTTAAATCCAAGCATTAACTTTAATTTTAATTAAATATATTTTTACATGCTTAAATACATTTGAATACAATGCTAAATACATTTAAATACATTAAATACATGCAAAAACATTTTTACATGCTTAAATACATTTTTTAATAAGAATTAATAGATATATCTTTTAAATCAAAATTATATATTTTTTTCTTTTAAATCAAAATTATATATTTTTTTATCAGATAAAAATTGTATATTTTATTAAATTAGTTTTAAGTTAAATCATATATTTTTTACAAGAATTAAATTTTATAATTATCTTTGCTTCAAGCTTAAGTATTAGCTTTTTTCAGGCAAGAAAAAAAAAAAAAAAAAAAAAAAATTATAAATCATATATTACAGGCTTGGTCGGGAAGCGGGAGCGATCGCTCTCGATTGCTGACCACGTAAATAATATTTAGTTGCAAAAAGCTGGCCAGATTTTTTAGTCGTTTTGAGAACATTTTTAATAGCAAAAAAAAAAAAAGCGATCAAGATTAATTGGACCGATGAGAGACAATTACAAAAGAAAAAAAAAATTAAAGCTAAATAAATTACGTTTAGAACAAATATTTTCGAAACATCGCTCTTTTATAATTTTTTTAAAGGGATCCCTAAGTGCTCCTAACATATGATCTCATATGAAAGAGCATAAAAAAAAAATATGTAAGTTTTTTTTCTTTTTCACTAAATTGTAATAATAAATGCATGCTAACAAAAAGCAATTGCCGAAATCACTAAAAAACAACTCCATTTTGATTTTATTTTTTCACCATTGAAACTCGATTGTTAGTCGTTAAAAATCACGTTAGTACGTCACAACAACTTTAGAATATCTACTTCGATTTTCAAGTAAAAAAAAGTCGTGATTAAAATAGTTAAGTTTTAATCAAGTTTTTTAAATTAGTTTTGCAAAAACAGTATAATAGCATTCGGTTGAAAGACGTCGTTAAAAAAAAGTTATAAGTAATAGTTTTAAATAGTTTAGAACTTATAAAAAAGTCTTACAGGGCTCGTATTAAGCGTATCGCGATCGCGATTGCAACACACACTTTTGTGATTAGTTTTCTCTTAAAAAAAATCTTTTCGCGACTCGTTTTTTTTTGGTTGATTAATTACTTTTTTTCTAGCTCAGCATTTTTTTTAGCAATTCTTAAAAGTAATGTTTTTATCATAAAGAACGTCACACAAAATTTATTATTCTAAATAGATAGATGAATAGATGATTTGCTCTTTCGCGCGGAGAGTTTCTTTCAACGTAAAACATTTTTGAATTTAAATTACTTTAAATCTCTGTGTGGAATATTTTTACAAGGTCGTTAAAGCGAAAAGTTGAAAAGTTGGTTTTTATCTTTGTTTATCAAAACTTCATGTTTAAAATAAGGCTTAAAAACGTTAGAGCAGAAAAATTACTGACTTTTATTTGCATTTTTATACTGTTTGAAAAAAAAAACTAATAAAAAAGAATTAATATATAATTATTAATTAATATATTATTAGTTAATTCTTTTTTATTAGTTTTTTTTTTCAAACAGTATAAATATGCTAATAAAAACCAGCAATTTTTTTACTTTAACGTTTTTAAACATGAAGTATAATTCGATTTATTAAACCAAATTTTTTTGTTTTATCTTTTATTGGAAAACTTGAAATAGAAAAATTGAATAAAAACATCAGCCATTTAAATGAAAAACTTAATTATATTTAAACTTTTATTAGTCCTTTATTCAAGAAACAATAAATTATAAAAACGTGGTATCTTAGTTTTTGACGATGTTATTTGATTTATTGACGATAACTTTTTCCCCCCATTACCGCACATCGGCGCGAGCTATAAGAGAAAGGGGGGGAGGGGGAGAGAGCAAAAAAAAATTTTTTTTTTTCGCGATTAGATTTTTTTGCATTAATTCGAGCCTTGTCTTAGATTAATTTCTAATAAAATGTCTATTCAACCTTATCAATTTGAACCAAAAAAATATAGCAATTTAACATAAATGTTAATTCAACTAAAACATTTTACAATCATTATTTTTTGTATCAAGCAAAAATGAGAGTAACCGTCACTTTTGAAACCATAAAAATTACTGAAATAAATTTATTTTTTTACTAAGGAAATATTTTAAATAAACTTTCTTATGTCTAAGTCAATATTCATTTGTTTTTAACTGACTAAAAAGAGTTTAAAATTTGACTTCTATTCATTTTTAGCCGTGGAATTGCCCTTATAACACAAATATATAAATTAATATTATAAAAAAAATTTTAATATACAAATATATTTTCACATAATGCTACAAAACTTATTCTTGTAAGTAATTATGTGTTAGTTGAAAAAAAACGACTTTACTTTTAAATTTAATTACCAACTAATAAGTTTGCAATAATGACATTTTGTCTACTTTGTTTAATTTGACGTACTAACGTTAGTTTTTTGAGGCAGTAGAGTCAATAAACTTTGGACAAGACGCATTTTTTTTAATCGAAGAAAAGCGTTTTTTTGAAAATTAAATTTGTTAGTGTGTGTTCATTATTGCGTTTTAGAAAAAATAATGTACATCAAACATTTTTTTTTTTTATGCTCTTTCATATGAGATCATATCTTTATAGCACTTAGGGATCCCTTTAATAAAATTAAGCGATGTTTTTTATATAAAGTAACAACTTACGATTCTTTAAAAAGGAAACAAATATTCTTTATTAACAAAGTTTGCAAGTTTTAGTTTTATTTAAGCTAAATTATTTTTTAAAAAAAAGTTTATTTTTTTAATACCTATTTTATGTTTCGCGTAGTTTGAAAAGTTTAACATATTTGAAGCAATTCTTCTTAGTAAGATAAACAAATGAAATAGTTAAATCATTGAATTACTATAGAAATTAAATTAACAAAATAGAAATCAACTAAAAAGGTTAAAAATACTTAATGACGAGGAAGCAAAACTGCTTCACAATATCGCTGATGATGCTTAGTGAGTGGGCTTTTTAATTTTAATTAGTATTCAAAGCAGAAAAAAGTATAACAAGTTCTAAGAATGGCAACTTAAGCAAAAATAATTCAGTCAGTAAACCAATATCTAGAAACTTTTCTTTGTATCTAGTTATTTGCTATAAATATTTGCGTTCTGTTGTACGCGGTGCTTGTTCATCCGCGAGTTACTTCGTGTGCATTGTTTGTGTTTAGTAACCAGAAACTTCTTATATGTTTGTTACATAATTAATTTTATTAATTTGGATGATTATATCTTCATTGAAAACGCAAATATTTGTGTAAGTCTTTGTTTAAATCATAAAAATTGCTTTAAAAGATACATTATGATAAAAAACACATACACACAATTACATTTACATAAAGAATACATACTTTTTAAATAAAAAGTAAGAATATACTAATAAAATCTATAATTTATAATAAACTTTTAAAATTTTGACAATTTAATTAATATATATTTAAAACATTTATTTTTGTAAACAAATAATATAAATTCTTAATACAATTTATGCTACAAATCTCAAAATGTAACAAATCGTGAATAATACAGTTTCTAAAACATTTCAACAGAATACTCTAAAACTTTATTTCGCTTAGTCAGCATATTTTTTGAACCAATAGAATTAGTTTGTTTGTTAATTTGGCGGGTTTTTAGTGTTCGTGAATATTCTTTTTATTCTTTCGCACCAAGATAATTAAAACTTCTATTATGGATGTAACTCTTTATTAATTTTTATACAATATTTCAAGGGAAGGGACTTGACAACCAGGGTATCAATAATCCCTTGAAATATTGTATAAAAATTAATAAAGAGTTACATCCATAATTGAAAGTAAAATTTTGATTTGTTTTTTAAATGTTAATTTACGTTTTTAATTTGTAATTAATAGCTGATGATTGCCGAAAGGTAGGAAACTTAAAGTACTATTATAATGTTGTTTTTCTTCATTTAAATAAAAAATATATATATCAGCTCAATTTTATTTTATTGTAGAGCCATACAGTGTGAGAGAATCTCGAATCCACATTAGGAGATTACGTGATTTACTTTTTACAATGATTGAACCTAATGCATTTAATGCCATCGATAATCTTTCGTTGTCATATTGTTCTGCTATAACTGAAATTGATATTGAAGAGGAAGCTTTAAAGAATTTTAAAGAACCCAACAGTGTCAACAGTGTCAAAGTCACATCTGATATTCTTCCTCCTCAATGGGCAACATTGGAGAATGGAGAAAGTCCATTATTAGAACCACTTGTTATTAAAAGCAATGATGTTCAGGTTAGCATAAACAAATTTAAACTAAATGTATATATATATATATATATATATATATATATATATATATATATATTAGGTTGACCGGAAAGTAATGTCATATTTTTACGTCAAATTAAAACAAATAATTTTTTTATAATATTTGTTTTTAATCAATGATATAATCACCCTCATTTTCCACAACCTTTTGCCATCTAGCGGGCAAATTTTCTATACCAGATCGAAAAAAATGTATTGGTTTGTCATCAAAATATCTGGAGATGCCATTTTTTAAGCAGTACAAAGTTTGAAATTTTTTGTCACTTAGAAAGTGCTGTAAGGATCGGAACAAATGAAAATCTGAAGGGGCGATATCAGGTGAATATGGAGGGTGGGGCAGCACCTCCCATCCCAATTCATTAATTTTTTCTAGCGTCCGTCGTGCACAGTGCGGCCTTGCATTGTCATGTTGAAGAATGACACCTTTTCTGTTGACGATAGCCGGGTAATTCTCAACTAGAGCTTGGTTCACTCGATCCAATTGTTGACAATAAAGGTCCGCATTAACAGTTTGTCCAGGAATAAGCACTTCAAAGTGGACGATTCCGCGGTTGCTCCACCAAACACACAGGAACGTCTTCTTGGGGTGTAATCCCGGCTTTGCAGTACTGCGTGCTGGTTCATTTGGGGAGAGCCACTGCCTTTTGCGTTTTGGATTATCGTATAGGACCCATTTTTCATCTCCAGTGACCAAACGATCAAGAAAGGGTTCTGCATGGTGCCGTTGAATCAATGCATTGCACGTGGTTGATCTGTTGGCTTTGTTTTGCACTGACAAGTTATGGGGGACCCAAACACCTGCTCTGCTGATTTTTCCTATCTGGTGTAAATGTTCTTGGATGGTCGACCAAGGTTGGTTAAGGGTGTTCGACAATTCTTCAATGGTTTGGCATGGATTTGCTTCAACTTCTGCCCTTAGAACGTCGTTGTCTAATGACATTGGTCTTCCTGGTCGATGGGCGTCAGAAAGATCAAAATTCCCAGATCTAAACTTGGAAAACCATCTTTGGCATTTGCGAACATCTAATGAACCTGGGTAAACATCACTAATGTTCTTAGTCGCAACTGTAGCGTTATTACCCTTGAGAAATTCAAAAAGCATACAATGACGAATATGCACTTCCTGTATTTCGTATGCCATTTCACTCCAATTTGCAAAGAAAACTATTTAATTTTAAATAATTTAGAAGTAAACAAGTCACACTAATATAAAAATAACCTGTGCACGTGTTCGAGATATACAATAAACTGGCCAACGATTATCGAATGTCAACATGCGCAAAAACGACATTACTTTCCGGTCAACCTAATATATATATATATATATATATATATATATATATATATATATATATATATATATATATATATATATATGTGTGTATATATACATACATACATATATACATACATACATGCATACATACATACATACATACATACATACATACATACATACATACATACATGCATGCATGCATACATACATGCATATATATACAGGGATCAATTTAACGGTCAGACATCGGACATTGTCCGGCTAACCCCTTAAATTGTCCGATCAATTTAAAAGTAATCGGACATTTTGATCGAAGGGAATTAAATTCTACAAAATAAATACTTTAGTATTTATATAAAAATTAAAACTTAAAGTAAAGTAAATAAAAAAAAAAAAAAGATTTAAAATAAAACTCAAAAAAAAGTTAAAATTACTTTTTGTTACGTTTTTAATTGCGTTTGAAATAAATTACTTTAAAACTTATATTTTGAAACCTTTTATTAAAGTTACACAAAACGCTTTTACAAATTACTTCTATTAATTGTTTAATAAATAAACAAGTTTTATTTAAATGATTGAAAAGTGAAATTAAATTATTGAAAAGAAAAAATATAATATTTTTTAATTGTTTAAACATTTTTTCAAAAAGTTGCAAAAAAAAAAAAAAAAAATTGTTTAAAAAAACAATGTTGTCTTTTTAAAAATGTAATTTTTAACCATTTCGTGCTTTGATTAAAAGTCAAGTAAAAAAAACAACTTTTAAACTTTGTAAAAATAATGACAAAAAAAAAAAAAGCAATTAAATCTTGGGAAGATTTAATTTAACTTAAAATTTATAACTTAAAGTAACTTGAAAATAATAATCATTTAATAAAAAATTTTAGAAAGACTTTTTATGATAAATTTAAATGTTTGAAACTATTTTTAAAATAGTTTCAAACATTTAAATTTATCATAAAAAACATTTAAATTTATCATAAAATTATATTTAAAAAATTTGATCGGACACTTTCTAACCCAAACAAGTTTTGATCGGACTAATCTTTAATTTATATTTATATTATGTATTTATACTACATAATTAAATATATATTTCTTATTTTTCGAAAATTATGACCATATAAAGTTTTAACCCCCTCAATTTGAGGGGGCTGTAAACTTTGTAGGGTCATAAAAACTAAAAACTAAGAGGTTATTGCATGAAATTTGAAATTCGTTGATGAATATAAACTTAGATAAAAATACTAAAAAAATTATTTTATCAACTTGTTGCTTCCACGTTAAGGGCTGGGTGGGCCTGAAAATTGGGGTTTTTTGTCCCCAAGCTCCAATCACCACAATTTTTTGCAAAACATTCTCATTTGACATAAGTATGAACATACAAAAGTTTGGAGTTAGCAAAATGTGTGTAAATGTTAAAACTCAAACATCTAAAAATCCAGTGTACACCACTGTGTATATATATATATATATATATATATATATATATATATATATATATATATATATATATATATATATATATATATATATATATATATATATATATATATATATCAGGGTGTTAGCCAGCCTGACGGTACCGCGTATTATGCAGTATTCCCAATTGGTTTACAATTCCCTAAGTTTCAGTAGATCATAGTAAAAAAATAAGTAAATAATTAAATCAGTCTAAGATATAAAGTGTCACGCTAGACAAGTAAAAAATGCAATTAGTGTACACGACGAAGAAATAAGTTAAGTTGATCCATTTTTTTTAATTTGTAAAAAAGCGTTGTCATTAACAAGCAAGATCATTCATTCAAAAGATAAAGAAAACTTTTTTTAAAATATTTGTAAGTTATAAAAAAAATCAATCTTTGTTTTTCGATATATTTTTTTATTTAAAAAACCTAGTGTACTAGATATTTAAATGTGGCGATTAAATTTAGTTGTTGCCCTAGTGTGGTGAAAGAATCTCACTCTGCCCTTGTTACTTATTTAAATTAAATTAACTAAGTAGCATATTGCAACTAAAGTTCTTTTAACGAACATTCTATTTGATGAAAATTGGTGAGCCAACTAAGTTTCTCAATTAAAAGTTATCGAGCTTTCAAAAAATTCTTATTTAAAAGCTATCAATTTAAGAAAATTTTGAAAGTTTTAAATTTAATGATAAAATTAGATGAACAAATATACAAATATCTATGTAAAAAAGTTGAAGTGTAATATATTTTATTTAAGTATTTTAAAATTTTTAGTTTTAAAGTACTAAATTATTTAAAAACTTAAATGTTTAAAACATTTCCATATAATTAGGGTTGCCATGCAAATGCCTGGCTTTTATGGAGGAGAGTACAGCGCCAAACCTGTAAAAAAAATTTTTTTACTGTGTTCTCCTTTGTAAAAGCTAATATATCTGTATATATAAGTACACTATACCTTACATATAACGTATAGTATTTTTATAGACAGTTGTCAATTAAAAATTTGTTTTTTAAAAGTGGAAATCGTTGAAAATATTTTGTTAAAAATTAAATACTATTTAGCATTTTTTTTTTTAACGTTTGTAATTTAAAAATGAAAATAAAGATAAAAGTAGACAATATAGGTAACTAATTGTTAAAACCTTTTAAAACTGTGTTTAAAAGCAATATACGGAATTAAAATAAATCAAAGTTTTAATGAATAAATTTGATAATTCATTCATTAAACTTTAATTGCAAATAATTGTCTTTGTTTCTTGTTTATATATATATATATATATATATATATATATATATATATATATATATATATATATATATATATATATATATATATATATAAATATAAATATATATATATATATATATAAATATATATATATATATATAAATATATATATAATATATATATATATATATATATATATATATATATATATATATATATAAATATAAATATAAATATATGTATATAAATATATATATATATATATATATATATATTTATATATATATATATATATAATTAATTACACTTTATCTTGATAGGGACACAAAATTTTGTGATATTTAAAAATCAGACAATTAATCTATCCCAACTTTTTACCAAATTAGAAATTAACAGTTTAAAAACTTTATTTATTTATTTTTTTATTTGTTGTTTACAAAAAATTAAAAAGTATAAAAAAACCTTTTGAAAAAGAAATGCTCTAAATTTTTTTAGTGATTTTATATATGCTTTTTATTCACATTATTTATAAATTGTACACATTTTATAAATAATTTGAATTTCAGCTAACTTAAAATTAGTTAAGTATAAAAATCCCTATTTCCTTAGGAAAGCAATTTATTCAAGTCATTTTCGGCTAAATAGTAACAATGTCCTGTTTCTGTAGGTTGTACTTCAACTTTGCTAATGATGTCGACATTTAGAATTCCAGCATTAGCTATTCACTGGTGGCCATTTAAACCACCGTGCATGACCATTTGGTCACATAAATTTGACAAGCACGTCTTTTTCATTTCAATCTTTGTCTTCAATGACTTCCATCACATTTGTTCATAAGAAACACAGACACTAGGTACTAGGTTTACAGTTGTTACTTGGATGTTTCCAAAGTCATGTATTAAAGCAAATTCTTCATCAACACTGTAGCCTTGTGCTTATCTAGACATAATAGCAACATATGCATTTGTACCATTTTTCTTATTTTGTTATA